TCGGCGCGCAGCCCGTCGGAGTCGTCGCCGCCCACCACCTCCTCGCGCGTCTGCACCAGGATAACCTCCTGGTGGTGGTGCACCTGGGTCGGGTCGTCGGTGACGAGCGGCTGCAGCGCGATCATGGGAGGGTGGTGGTGGTGGTGGTGGTGGTGATGACCCGCGTGCCCGTGGCCACCCCCGCCGCCGTGGTCGCCGCCGCCGCCGTCCTCATCGTCGTCGTCCTCCTCCTCCTCCTCGCCCACTACCGTGGTCTCGATGGTCTCCACTGGGATAGTCTCCACCTCGATCTCATGCAGCTCCACGATTTCGGCCGGCATTTCCGAGCCGTCCGTGGCGATGTAGAGGGTGTCGCCCGAGGCCATGACTGAGGGCTCCGCCACCACGGCCGCGGCGGCCTCAGCTCCGGGGCTGCGGGCGAGGAGGCGGCCGGCCGTGGGGAAGGAAGGCACAGGGAGGAAGGCGGCGGGCGGGCGGGGGGAGAGGGGGCGGGGGGAAGGGGCGGGCGCGGCGGCGGCGGCGGCGGGCTTCCCCGCCTCCTCGCCTCGGTGCGCCCCGCGCTCGCTCGGCCGCTGCTCGCCCCGGCGCCCCGCCTCGCCGCGCCTCAGCTTCCCTCTCTAGCCGCGCCTCCTCCCGCCCTCCAGGCCGGCGCTCCGCTTCCCCCTTCCTCCTGCGCCTCCGCCTCCTTCCACACAAATACCAACTCCTCACCCCGAGCCCAGATCTCGCTGCCGCCGCCGCCGCCGCCACACTCCGCTCGGGCTCGGCCTCGCGAGACTTCCGCGCTGGACCGCCCCGCCCCGCCCCGCCTCGCGCCCACTCGTCCGCTTACCCTCTCGCTCCTCCTCCTCTGCCAATCGGTTTGCTGGTTCGCCGCCTGGGCACCGCCCCCCCTGGACTCCTCCTAGATTGGGGCAGGCGGGACGGCCCCCGCGCGCGCTGGCTGGCCCGCTGCGCGTGACGTCAGCGCGCCGCCGCCGCCGCTAGTCGTGCTACTCCCGCCCTCCGCGGTGCAACTGCACCAAAACCCGTCGCCCCGGGCCGCACTCAGGATCCGGGCGTCGCCGCTGCAGTCACCGCTTCTGGAGCTGGTGAGCGGTGCGCGCGGCCCCGGGCACCGCGGGGGAGGACGGGCCGACCGAGCGCGAGATCGTGGTTGGGGGACGCGTGGGGGAGCGGGCGGCACGCGCGGGGCGCCGCGAGCGCCCCAATAAAGTCTGTTTTGACGACAAACGCTTGAGCCTCCTTTTTCGCGTGGGATGGCGTTTGCTCTTGGCCCCTGGCTCGAGTGGACGATGGCGGCGGGCTGAGTGAGGAGGCCCGGCGAACAAAGGCGGGCGGGCAGCAGAGGAAGATGTCCGCCGGCGGCCGCGCTCCCGCCTCTCCCCGCTGGGCCCAGGGCCGAGCGCAGGGTGGCCGCGCGGGTCGAGCGGATGGCAGGGGCGCGCGGAGCCCCCGGGCCCACCGTTGGGAGAGTGTCCGTTATCCTTTTGTGACCGCGGAAACCTGAGACGGAGCCGTTAGTACCTACTTCCCGCTAGATCTTAGAACTCGGGGTCTCGGCCGCTCGCCGTGCAGCTCCTTTTGGTTTTCTACAGTTTCCTTCTGAGCTTTCCTTTCTTGGCTCTACAGCCAATCATGGTTTCTCTTGACCACCGTCTTCACCTGTTTCTCACTTTCCTAGAGGCCCCTCATACCCACCAAGGCTTTGCCGCCTTTTCTTAAAAAAATTACCCAGTTTTCCCGCCCTCTTGTTCTTTATACCAGCAATAGCCTAGATCTTTTACCCTGACGAGTAAGCGGCAAGTTAAACCTTCCTGAATAGCTAGTTATATTGCAGCGAAGTGGTTTTGGCTCTATTCTTTTGGCAGACCTGACAGTGGTTTAAAGCAATAGAAATCTTTTTAAAAAGATTACCTGGTTTTTTTAAGGAAGTGATGAAAAAACTGAACTTGGGAAAGTGCTGTGTCTGTTGTACGCGTTTGGCCAATTTAAAGCCCTTGTGAATGTGTTGAACTTCATGCAAGGTCTCCATGTTTATTCTTGTATTTTGGTTAAGGTTCCTGCAGTTGAAGCCCCTGATTAGTATGAACTGTAATAAATTCATGACAGAGCTAGCTTGTTAAAACAAGTGGATGTCTTTATGAGACCGTATTAGAGAAGTGTTTGCGTTTTGACCAAGAAGTGACTTGATCCGTCTAATTTAGGCCCTACTTATTTCTAAATGGCATTGGACTTGATTTTTGAGAATATTAGATCATATTCTTTTTAAATCTGAGTTTTAAAACCTGAGTAATTCCCCTTGGAGTGCTACACCCACACAGTTTGGCAAAGTCATATCTAGCTTCGTAGTTTATAAAGTCATCTGCGTAAGTATTTCACATATTAAAACCAGTTGTGGGAGAATTTTTATGTGGCTCAATTTCCCCACTCTAGTTAATTGGTGGGAAAATGGCTTTGCGAGTCCTTGAGACTTCCCCATAGATACAAGCAAAAAGGGGGAAGCACCCAGTTAAGCAGCCTCGATTGTGAGTCAGATCCGTAGCCTTCACAATCAAGTGTGGAGAAAGCTGAAAAGGGTTTTTCAAACTGTCAGGAAGGTTGGTAGGTGTGAGAAAGCACGGAGAAGTGCTATCCTAGTACCTGCTGGTGAACAGCTTTTAAAACTTGCCCTGAAGCAGCTAACTAGCTGTGGAGTATTGGGTTGTCCAGAAAGTCTGTTATATTCTTCCCGCAAAATAAAAAACCCATTATTCATTTGCATCAGTAACTTGATTGGGATGCTCTGAGTCCGTCGGCGCTCTCCCACTGTTGGCTTCCAGTGGGTGGAGGCCGGGGGGGGGGGGTGCTGCGCAAACACCTTTCAATGAGTAAGACAGCCCCACAGCAAAGAGTTACTTGGCCAAACTATTAGTACCAAGAAACTTCGCAAACCACTTTTGACCCATTTGATCAGTCATAGCATATTCTCCATACACTGCACAAATCTTTTTTTGTGTTCCAGTTGCGTTTTAACCTTTTTTGAAATAATAAAGCAAAATATGCCAAAAACATTGTTTTCTTCCATCTTCAATATTAAAATGGCCACACAGAAATTCACCAATTTTGATTTAAAAAAAAAAAATGCACACTAATATGGCAGCTGTCGCAATACAGTCTAAGAAAACTGTTTCAAATGAAATTAAAGACAACCAAGCACTACTAAAGCCATATCATAATATCATAGCGGGGTGGGGGGGGGCAAATGCACTATTTGGCCAACCCAGTACCTTATGACTAGACATGCAAAGACACTGGGTTGTATCAGCTCCAGCCTGCTCGTACTTGCTGCTAAAAGTGAAAATCTGTTTATAAGAACAGGTTAGCCCTGGCTGGTGTGGCTCAGTGGACTGAGCACTGGCCTGCAAACTGAGGGGTTCAGGGTTCGATTCCCGGTCAGAGCGCATGCCTGGCCTGCGGGCCATTGTTCCTCTCCCTCTCTCCCTTCTTCTCCCTCTAAAAAATTGAATAAATAAAATCTTTTTAAAAAATAAAAGAACAGGTTAAATTACAATTTCAGAACCATAGGGCTTTAAAGGTAGGGATAATTCACTATTATTTCTGTTCTGTTCGGGCATAATTCATTTGGCCAGTGAGCGTTCCCTCTGAAATTCTAGAGTCCTTTTGTTGGTTCAACAAGACAAATGATATAACAGCACTTAATCTGGTCTTTCTCTTACGCCAGTGTTTGGGTGATTTTACCCTTCCCTCTTCCAAAGGCCATGGCTGTGTCCGTGTACAGCTCAATCCTTTGCACATGGGACGATTGCTTTTTGGTTCATCACAAGATGAAGCAGGAAGTGCGGACACAGTAGTTCGGTGTGACAGCACTTGACCTTCTCAGCTGACTCAGAAGCTCCAACGTCATACAAAGCTTCCAGTCTACTGTGGAAATGAATGACAGCAACTACAGGCGAAAGAAGAATTCTCCTGAGAGCTGTACAAAGCTTTCTAGAACCTCCAAGAAATCAGACCTCACTGATGACTGGAGAGATGCGGGCTGGTAGCCACAACTCTTGGCGTCTGCCCACCGCGTTTCTGTAGGGTTCCCTTCCTGCGCCCTCCTTTCAGCACTCGGGCTGGGTTGAGAGGGCACATGGTTTAGGAGGGGACACCTGTGGAGTAGGTGAGGGGTAGGAGGGGGTGGGAGAATAAAGGATAAGAGTTTTCAAATACCTGGAGGGCCTCCCTGCTCTTTTTCGAACAGCGTCTTATTTAGTGACTATTGGGAGGCTAACAAATGTAATTCTGCCATTTCTATTTCTAGCAGATTGGGCATGATTCACGCGATAAACTCATGTTAAAGAATTTCCCTTACCACAGACTAGTTTAGCAGCCTTGTGAAACTGCCTTTTGGTTAGTTCTAAGGTCTGGGTCTTTTGCAGCGGCTTCAGGGAAACTGTTGGCTTGGCCTCAATCACAGAATGACTCAGGCGGGGCGGGAGAGGGGCTGTGGCGCCCCGGCCGCCCTGCAGGCGGCGCCAGCGGTCCCTGCCTTTGCTTGGCTGCAGAGCCTCCGCTCCGGCTCGCGTCCGTGCTGCGTTTTCCGTAAAATACTTGGAAAAATCAGAATGAAAATTCATGTTGTGAATCTAAATTGGTTGCCCCTGGTTTGGGTCAGTACGAGTTGAATGAAAAACCATAGGTGTGTGCGGTTTTCTTAATCATTTAAGCTACAGTTATTTCTAGTTGTGGAATCTGTGAAATATGAGCTATTAAAGGGATAATCCTCCCCCCCCCCAAAAATCAATACATACATTAGGTATGGAGCTAACTTATGGTGAAGAGGCCTTACTGCATGCGTCCTTTAGCCCACCTTTTATGCAGCATTTTGCCTTTTACACTTAGGAGGTCTTAGTCAAAGTCTTTTTCTGTAGCTAAGTGGTTTATTACAGTAAATGAATCTGGTTATTGCCCATAAATCTAAGGAAAGTTGAAATCTTTAATAATAAATGAGCCTCAAAAAGGGACTTCTGTCGTGAGTGGCAGCGGGTAAGGCAGCCTGACTGCTCTGCATGTGGAATCGACGTCAAGAGATTTCGGAAGCATAATTTTTTGGTATCTGGGCAGCTGGTGATCGTTGGCCCTGACGCCTGGGGGAAGGGAAAAAAAAAAAAGGATGAGCCTCGTTTTTCTCTACTTTGCGGTTAGAACGTCCCTGCAAAGGAGCGCCATCCGCTAAGTGCATGGCAGCCGCTCCTGCCGCTGCGCCCCCAAACGAATGCAGCCCGCGAGCCGGCGGACTGGCAGGAGGGTAGAAACCCCTCTTGCACCCTCCGTCCCGCTCCAACCACACCTCTCCCCGGGGCGCCATCTTGCTCGTGCGCTCGCAAGCCTGGGGCGGGTAGTGCGGCAGCGTGGGCAGGGCTCGCAGGGACTGGGGGCTCACCCGGTCCTCCGAGGGAGGGCGTGGGATCGGGGTTTTCCGGTTATTAAAAAGGCGGGAAGGAGGGCTTTCGGTGAGCCCAGCTGTTCCCCGTTTGCGAGCACTTGCCCTGGCGCTCAGAGTGCAGCCGAGAACAAGACCAGCGCCTGGCTCCCTGAAGCCTGCAGGCCGGAGGGAGACAGGCTGCGGGCGTGCGGCTCGCAGACAGCGGTCTCCCTGCCGGTGCCCGGGAGTCCTGGGACAGCGTGGAGGGGGGCCCAGCCTTGTCGGAGAAGGGCCCTCTGGAGGGGCGACCGGACCACACGGTGCCCGCCCAGGGCTTGGCTTTTTTAATGCTAGTTTCTTTTTGGAAGGGGAGCACATAAAGTAAGCCAGGTGGTAAATTTGTAAATATATGGGACAAGGCCATAGCACTCAGTCCAAAAGGCTATTCTTAGCCTTGGAAATAAATCACATGATCAAATGAATCCACTGAAGCTGCTGTTGAGGGGGGCTGAGATTTCAGTTCTCAGTTTCTAACATCATGTCCCAGTTTTGCCTCCCACTTTTTACGAACTGTTCCCTGTTCAGAGTCCCCGCTGGCTATCGGACTGATCGTAGAGACCCTTTTTCAGTCTCAGGCCTCGGAATGTGGAACCGCTGCGAGGCTGACCAGTGGGAAGAACGGACTGGAGCCCTCGAAACGTAAGTTCCGCGCTGTTAACCCAGGTAACAGCCTCCAAGTCCCGAAACCGCTAACCTCCTCCCAGTCTCAGGGCTCCGACGGGCGGGCGGAGGAACGTGTGTTCGGTGCCACGGGCATCCGTGGAGACTGGCGCTTGGGCAGGGAAAGCGTTTCTGTGCCCAGCCCCTGCTCCAGCCCCTCCTCAGGCTGCTGCACATGGCTGGGTGCGCTGGCCCGGCCTGCTCCCAAACCCCCCTGGGGGCTGTGCCGCGCACCCAGGCACTGCCCGCTGTGGCCCTTGTGCGCAGACAGGGTGGTGCTCACGTGGCGCCTCAGGGCACAGGAACGTTCATTTGCTGGCCAGATTTTTAAAGAGATTTTCCTTGGGGGAAGCGGGTATAAGGTGACTAAAAGATAATACTAATAAACTACAAGAAAGATTAAAAAAGGAGAGATTTGTCATCAGAGACAGATTTTTAATCTCTCTGAGCTAAGTGGATTATTGTCTACTAAAAGTCGAGTAAACAGTCCCTGGCTGGTGTAGCTAAGTGGGGGGTTGGGTATTCTGCAAACCGAAAGGTCATGGGTTCAGTGCCTGGTCGGGACACATCTCCAGGTTACAGACCAGGTCCCCAGATGCGGGCATGTGGGAGGCAACCAATCGATGTTTCTCTGGCACATAGATGTTTCCCTCCCTTTCTTTGTCGCCCCCCCCCGCCCCGACCCCGCTTTCCCCTCTCAAATAAATAAATGAATAAATTCATTAACTTGCTTTTGTGTTTTCTGTGTCAGTCAGAACTCCATTTCTCAATGGGGGAACTCCTTTTGGCCATGTCTGGCTCTGCCATCCAGCTGCTGGTGTCTTCCTGGTCTCGGTTCCCCTTGTGACATGGGCGCTTTGGCTGGAGAGGGTGACCCCAAGACGACATGACAGGGGCGTCATCATGGTAGGGTCAGCGGCTGCCCCGCGAGGACATAGCAGCCTGGAGGTGGAAGACCGGCAGCCCCCTCGGCCCGTTCCAACGCCTGCAGCGCAGCCCAGAGCTGCCCCTGCGGCTCCGGGGCGCCCTTGGGGCCCAGCCCTGCCTTCCCTCGGGCCATGGAGTGTGGGGCTGAAGGGTGGGGTGGGCGCAGCACCTAAGGGCGCTGTCGACTGCCGTCCGCCCTGTGCCTGAGGAGTAGGTGGGTGTGCCCCGGCACCGTTTTGCCCAAATGGCGTCGTCCTTGTGGCAGGAGTGCCGCCTCGCGCTGCCTGAATCTCAGCCCGCGACTCGCTGGCCAGCTCATCCAGAGGCAGCGCCCTCCCGACGCTGCCCTCCCCACCGGTTCAGCTCCCGCTGCGGTCAGGGAAGACGGACAGCGCCTCAGGGGGAACTTGAACGTCCAGGGTCCTGTCCTCTCCCATTGCCCCGTGTTCCAGCCTCAGGCCTGGCCAGTCCCTCTTTCCTTCCTAGACCGGAGCGCTGTGATTGGTCCCGGGGCCGTCAGCCTCCCACACTGCCTGTGTCTGGTGAATTTCACCCTGAGACCCGCCCACTTCTGTCTGTGCTTCTGATGTCCTGGGACCCCCTGCGGGAAGCACCGTTGGGGTGTGCAGGTTTTTCTGGTGCCTTATTTGTGGTCTGCAGCCTCAGCTGCGTATAGGATCTCATTTGACAGCTCCTTTTGCTTGTCCTGATTCCGCCCCCGCCCCCCTGCCCCCGGCACCATTTCGCTCAGCAAACTCTCTGACTTTCCTCAGAGTCCTTGAGAAACCCACTTTTGCCTGTCTCCCGCCCCCCACAGTAGCCTGGTTGCCTGGCCGCCTACTTCACGAAAACCGGGAGGATCAGAACTCAGTTCCTGGCGCACCGGCTGTCCCTCTGAGCCGTCTGCCCTACGCATTACCTGAGGAGCGCCCGCTTCTGCAGTGCCGCTCCGGGCTGGGCCTGAGTCCTCCGCTTGTACTTGTGCCCCACCTCTGGTCCCCACGTCCCTGCACAGTCACCTGTCTTCCCCCGGGCACTGCCACCTTCCCTGGCTCTCTCCCTTTGAATTAAGCCTCCCCGGGTCTTTGGACACAAGGCGCTTGCCACCCTGTCCCCCTCCAGCCACTGCCTCGTCCCCTTTAGCTAAGGCCCCTGAGGCCGCATCTGTCCTAACGGTCACCTCCTGTGGGTTCCGGCCCTGGGCCTGCAGCAGCCCACCCGACACGCGCGCCTGCAGGGGAAGGGTTCATCCTCCCTCATCGCTCGGTGTGGCCTGCCGCTCTGTCCCCAGGACTCGCCTTTTCCTCCACCTTCTCCCTTTTGACTTTTGCTCCTCTTGCTGCTCTGCTGGGTCACGTGACCCACTCTTGTGGTTTAACGGCCAGCGCCGAGCCCCGGTCTGTCGGGGTTTCCCCCAGAGCACCCTCCCCACGCCTCGCTGTCCCTCCCGCCCTGCAGGGGCCCTGCAGGCAGCCCGCTCCCTGGGTCTGCCAGCCGGCCCTCCCCGCCCCCATCCGCCGCCCGCCGCCCACCACAGGCGTCTGTCACCAGTCGTTCCCCGCCCCCCCAGGGCTGACTCCTCTCACTCCCTAGTCCCCCCCAGGTAGCCACAGAATCCTGATGCGTTTACCTCCTAAATAGTTTCCAAACTGACAATGCTGCGTCGCTGCTGCCCCTGTCTGGACGTGGGCCCTGGCTCGCACCTAGCCCTCTGGCAGCCAGCTGCTCCACCTGCCGCAATCCTCCCTCCCCGAGGCCTCTGGAGCTCTGCCGGGCAAGTGAGACCACATCGGTCCCCTATTCGGACTGCAGGGGCGTCCAGGGGCCTCGGGGTGGCCCAGCCCCTCCTCAGCAGGGCGCTCATTGGCGTCCTGGCTTCGCCTTCTGTCCTGCTCCCTCCAGATGTGTGTTCGTGTGCACTGTGACGCTGGTACCTTTGTTCCCAGACCGAGGATCAAACCTGCAACCCTGGCGACCGGGGGCGATGCTCTGACCAACTGAGCTGCGCGGCCAGGGCACGCCCTTCGCGTTTTCTGAGTGAATTTGCAAGCAAATCAACAGATGTCTGGAAATTAGACACAATTCTAGAAAAAGTCATCAACCTTGGAATTAGTGTATAATGTGAAGAAAGTAAGGAATATTTCTTGCCCCAGACTACATGAAAGTGGTATGTGTGTCTGATTAGTTCTCAGGAGCATATTCAGAAAGGAAATCCTTTAAGCAGATTGCACTCTGGAAAGATAATCTTATTTTGACCTGCTCAGGTGTAGCTGACACAGTCTTTCACCCGGGCTCTCAAAGCAAAGGGTATTTACAAGGGAAATCCTGTTTCACAGCCACCCCAACAAAGAGGGTGAGGATAACGTGACCGTCTCCTGTCGAAATGAAGGCCTTATTGATTGATGTGTTAACCCAGCAGGTAGCAGATAATGAGCATACAAATAAACATGTATTTTACTAATAGAAAAAATGGTAGCAATTAAGAAGAGCTTGTGGAGGGCTGGCTGGTGTGGCTCAGTGGATTGACCTCCAGCCGGCGAACCAGGGAGTCGCCGGTTCGGTCCCCAGGTAGGGGTGCACGAGAGGCAACCACACACTGATGTTTCTCTCCCTCTCTCCTTCCATTCCCTTCTCTCTGAAAATAAATGAAAAGTTTTTTAAAAAGCTTGCGGAAACCAAATTGTCCATTTGGATTTTGTGCTTTTTTTTTCCTATTGCTTCTCATTTGTATCAGGTCTTTCAGATGCTTTAGCCAACTGCAACATTTCCCTGCCAGAAGGAAAAGTTGCAGATGAAGGCTTTCTCCTGCTTAAAAACTGTAAGGAAGTGGTTAACCATTTTCGACCGCTCTACCTACTTCCTACGTCCTTCTCTCATCGTTCAGAAGTACGTTCTTTAACTTCTCATCACCTGGATTTTCCCCTCCAGTACACGTAGGCCTTCTCAGTCTCTGAAATGTCCTGGGATTAGTCACTGTCCCCATGACCCTGGGCATTTATTTCCTCATTGTTGAGTTACAGACGGGAAGAGCAGGTCCGCCTCAGGCCAGCCAGTATGTGGGTTCTTGACTTCATGCGGG